GTGCAGGACTCCTGTAAAAGTAGGCATGTACCACATGGCCAGAACGGACTTTGCTAGAAACAAGTGCAGTTCACACACTACTTATTGTATATATGAACTCTACTGAAACCTGGGCCTCTGAATTCAGGGCTGAGTCCAGGAATACACCCAGATTACAAAACTGCAGTTACAAAAGGGGTGTAATAAATCTATCACAGGTGCTCCATACGTTTTATTGATTAATCCATTGGCCATATCAAAACATTTAACAAATACATTTATACATACAGCATACAACCCACATTACAGTCAAAATTAAAACAAGCAAGCTGTTAACAAGGGGTCAAGATCCTGATCCAGATGTAATATCTGCATCAGCCTTACAAATTTACATCAGTTGACTCCAAACCTGCATTTACTAGAGGCATGTAACCAATCTATCACAGGTGCAATACATATTCCCTTATTTCAGCATTTCTCAACCTGGGGGTCGCGACCCCCAGGGGGGTTGTTCAGCCATTTCTGAGGGATCGCTGACTCCTCCTTCAGCCCCCACCCCGGAATGGCTTCTTGGCTTTTCTGAGGCTTTTTAGAGTTTCTGGTCAAAGGAGGCTTGGAGCCTCACAAAGACAACAGCAGCTATGGCCCACGAAGAAGGCCAGAGAGAGAAGGCGGCGACAGGCCTCCCTTCCGGCTATCCAGCTCCTCCTCCCCAAGCCCGGCAACTTTTTAAAGGCACCTTCCCATCGCCCCCAGCCCTCTCTGCCAATGCAACACAATGACAGGATGGTCTCTTCAGAGGAGGCAGGCAGGCAGGTTCGAGAGAAGGGAAGAGGAGAAACAAATGATGGACAAAGTGTGTGTGTGGGGAGGGGAGGAATTCTTGGCCCTTGGGGAAAGGAAGAGGCTGCTGCAAGTGAGAGATGCAAGCGAGGTGGGGGGGGGGGTTCAGAGGGGAGCATCTCTGGAAGAAGGGGGGAGGGGTGAGAGGAGCCCCCCGTCCCTTCACAGGAGACAATGCCCCTATCCAGCTTAAAACCACTTCTTGCCATGGGATCCTAATGTTCTGCACTAGCCCCATAGGATACAAGGGACAGGGAGCCAATTTAAAACCACTTCTTTCCATGGGATCCTAATGTTCTCCACCAAGCCCCATAGGATACAAGGGACAAGGAGCCAGGTTAAAACCACTTCTTTCCATGGGATCCTAATGTTCTGCACCAAGCCCCATAGGATACAAGAGACAGGGAGCCAGGTTAAAGCCATTGCTTTTGATAGGATTCATGATACACCATGCTTCATGACAAAACTTCATTCATTTGTAATTAGAAGTATCTATTTCACAATATATTGTTACATATTGTTTTTGTGAGTAATCACTATGCTTCTTTATGTTCAATTTGTAATAATGAAAATGTATCCTGCATATTTACATGACAATTCATAACACTAGCAAAAATACAGTTATGAAGTCAATCGGGCAGTGGGGATATCCAGCTGCCTACCCTGGATGGCGAGGCACTACGCCCGTCATCATTGGTAAAGAGTCTGGGAGTCCTTTTGGACCCTCTGCTGACGATGGAGGACCAGGTCTCCGCTGTTAGCAGAACCGTCTTTTTTTATCTGCGGCAGGCTAGACGGCTAGCACCCTACCTGTCCAGGGACGACCTAGCTCCGGTGATCCAGGCTACGGTCATCTCAAGACTGGACTACTGTAACGCCCTCTACATTGGTCTTCCTCTGTCAGTGATCCGGAAGCTCAAGTTGGTACAAAATGCAGCTGCTCGGCTTCTTGCGGGAATTCCGATGAGATGCCACATAACCCCAATCTTACTACAGCTGCATTGGTTACCAATTGAGCACCGGATCACTTTCAAAGTGATGGTACTCACCTTTAAGGCCTTGCATGGTCTGGGGCCGATGTACCTGAGGGACCGCCTCACCCCCTACCAACCCCAAAGATCCCTCCGTTCTGAGAACCAAGATCTATTGGAAATTCCCAGTGTCAAGACCTTGCGTCTAACAGCAACCAGACGCAGAGCCTTTACAGCAGTGGCACCATCAGTCTGGAATACTCTGTCACCTGAAGTCCGTGCCTTGCGGGAACTATTGGCTTTCCACAGGGCATGTAAGACATATCTGTTTCGACAGGCCTTTGATTTCTGATATTGTTGTTTTTAAATTGTGTTAGATTTTAGCCTGTTCTTGTAAGCCGCTCCGAGCCACAGGGGAGTGGCGGCATATAAGCTTGAATCATAAATAAATAAATGAGTAGCACAAAAAATAATTTTATGGTTGGAGGTCACCACAACATGAGGAACTGAATTAAGGGGTCGTGGCATGAGGAAGGCTGAGAATTACTGCCTTATTTGCTTTTGAGCAGAGGCACTTTTTTTATCTGGATTAAGCTTCAATTTGTTCTTATCTAATCTGTTACTGCTACCAGATGTCATTTTAGCACCAAAAGAGAGAGGGAGAGAGAGAGAGAGGTTCCTTGGAATTAATGGAAATGATTAATAGAACTGCATGTCAACAGCATAGTGGTCACTCTTGACCAACTCTCCTGGTAGTTTCATGTATATGTTAAAATAGGATAAGGGACAGCACAGGGTCTTGAGGGAAGTTGAACAGGATTCCCTCAGGACCACTTACTGGGCTCTCTACTCCAGAAAGAAATGCAGCTTTTATAAAACAGTACTTGCAAATTCCATCCCTGCAAGGCAGCCAGAAGGTTACCATGGTTTTCAAAAGGCATTGCTAAGTCCAAGAGAACCAGCAGGGACACATTCCTCCCATTCAGCCCCCAGTTTATCTAACCTACAAAGCCATCCTCATCCCATAACCAGGGTCGAAACCAGACTCAAGTACAGTAGTTGTCTCTCAGTAGTAAAAGTGTATAATGTTTTTAATATTTTTTTCCACAGATTGAATATCCCTTATTCAGAATTCTAAAATACTCCAAAATTGTCCATATGGATGGCTGAAAGTGGCACTTTTGTTCCTGTTAATTGTGTACACAGTCTTGGTTTCATGCACACGGTTATCAAATATATTGTTTTCAGGCTATGTGCATAAGGTGTAATTGAAGCATAAAGGAAATCTGTGTTTACATTTGGGTCCCATCTTCAAGATCACATTAGATATATGCAAGTATTCCACAATAATAATAGTAATAATAATAAAAGAAGAAATGTGGAACATTCTGGTCCTAAGCATTTTGAATAAGGAATGTGCAACCAGCATTGTCTTTGTTCGGGCTCTTTCATGAAATCAAGAGTTTGATCTGTGGACACAAACCTAATATCTGTAATGTGTTAGTGCTACATGGTAATGCAGGAGCAGTACAAACAAACTGTGAAATAGTACAAATTGCTTTTTTAAAAATTAAAGCCATATTAACTCATACCATTTTAACAAAATCTATAAAACAAAACTAAGATGGAAAATGCCCTTTGAAGGTAATAGGTTTCATTTTTCAGATGTCAGGGAGAAAGGCCGCGCAGTATGTGTAAATCCCACTAAGAACTCTACTCCAGACGTCTTCATCATAAGAAGGAGGCTTGATGTTGCTAATTGAGTAATAGTTACAGCAAACTTCAAAGACTTGAAGAACTTAGAGATGTTCGTTTTATGCAGCTTTGGCAAATAGCCCATGACAGAAAAACTGATGCATCGGCTTAATTACATGGATTTTATGCCAAATGGCATGTTTTCATTTTTATATACAAATCATGATTATACACAGTTATATTCATAGAATCATTTCTTTGGAATATGAGGATAAAACATATTTTTTTTTATGACAAAAAACAATTTCCAAACTTCAGGTAGCCTTTCTTTACACTTTTACATGTAAAGGGGGAACATATTTTGTGTGTATTTCTTTCTGGTAGTATTCTAACAGTGATGTAACTGTCTTTTGATTTTTTTCCATTTCTTTATTAAATAGCATTTATATTAGTGGGGGAAATAGAAGGAGCTCATTTTGGATATGTAGGGCCCAAACTTTCAAGAAAACTTTTCACACAGACACTTTAGGGGGTATATATAAAAGGAAACAAGGCTATTTTTCAAAATTCTGCCACATACCCATGTGAGAGCACCCTTGTGTGGAGTAGAATTTCTGAATATAAATTAAGACTCATAGCAATAGATATTCCTATATCTTACAGGGTTAGTAGATAAAAGATAGATTTTGTGGCTATAATCTTTCACGTTGTTTTCAATTTGTGGCTACTGTAAAATGAACCTATCATGAGGTTATCTTGACAAAATTTGTTCATAAATTATTTAACATTGGTACTCTTTTGATGTAGAAGAAGTATGACTTGTCCAAGGTTCACAGAAGTTTCTATACCAGAGTGGGGATTTGAACCCTGGGGTGCGTTTACACCAGGCATGGACAAACTTTGGCCCTCCAGGTGTTTTGGACTTCAACTCCAACAATTCCTAACAGGTGGTAAGATGTCTGGGATTTCTGGGAGTTGAAACACAAAACACCCGGAGGACTGAACTTTGCCCATGCCTGATATACACTGTAGAAATAATGCAATTGACACCTTGACACCACTTTAACTGCCATGACTCAGTGCTGTCATGGCTCTCTACCCTTCTCTGTCAAATAGTTCTGATGCCTCACCAAACTAGAGCCCCCATGATTCCATAACACTGAGCCATGGCAGTTAAACTGTATTAATTCTATAGTATAAATGCATCCCTGTTTTCCAGTATCGTAGTACAACACTCAAACTACTACACCTAACCCCCCCCCCCCCCCCCAATCGTACATATGTTTTGTGGAGTAACTTTCCAGTGAAGCAGCAGGTCTCTTCATTTATGTTTTTTTTATTTACAGAGTGATAGGGTGAAACTCTGAGAAATAATGTTTATAATAGTAGCAAATGTCTGTCATAGTTCCTTGATGTAGTATTTGTTGGATGAAAATAATTGTAAACCAAGAAATAGGTCAGTTTTGGAAAACTGTTGTCTTCTTGTAATAATTTTCTTTTCTCTCCTTATAGGTGTATATTACCCTTCATCAAGAATTGAACAATGGAACCAGATGTCATCCGAATGTATTCTTCTTCCCCCCCACCACTAGACAATGGGGCCGATGAGGAGGACGAGGAGGAGTTTGGTGACTTTGGTGATTTCTCTGGTGCTGGAGGTACCAGTGTAGGCTTTGACTTCTCATCAGATTACTCTACTTCAAAAGAAGAACTTAAAACTTCATATAATTCTGATTACTCAGGCAACGTGGATAGCATTATAGCCTTTACTACTGTTCACTACAGTAATGATAAAGAAGGCATTACAGAGCTTCCTAATTCTGTTAAAGGACTTTCCAATAGTAGTAAAGAGAAATGTGAGTGTAGAGATTTGGGTACATCATTTGGTATTATTCCAACAGAAGTGGAGAGAACTGGGAAATCAGAGTCATTGTACCCTGAAATTATTAGAACTGATGTGAAAGTTCCAAGTCAAGTCCAGCAAGTAGAGAGCTGTAACGGTGAGAAACGGCCATGTTCAGAAGTTCTAATGAATGGATTTGCAACACCGGACACAGCAAATTCTCAGGGAGTAGAAGATCTGGACAGTATCAGTGACTCAAAGGGATTAAGAACAATGATCGCTCATAGTACTGAATTAAGTTTCGATTCTAGAGCCAGCACAGCAGAGGATTTTGCAGATTTTGCCACATTTTCAAATAAGCAAACAACCCAGGTAGAAGAAACAGGAAATAAAATATGCAAAAATGCTAACGAAAGAGAAGGACTAAGTGTACAGGAAAACAATATTATTAACAGAGTTGGAGAGAGGAAGTCTGTGAAGGAAGCTATTTCAGACGGAAACTGTGAATATGAAGGGAAAACTGCCACTGAAGGTGAACAGAGCTGCATTTCAAAAATTAATTTAGCAATTTCTGATGACTTGAAAACTAAGGAGGACTGTACAACATTGGAACATAACATTTCCTCTTCCTTACAAACAAATGTGAAATCTGGCACAGCGGCAGCTTCTGAAGGAGAGCATAACACTGGAAACAACAAAGACCATGATAATTTGTGGACCAATGATACTACAAGAATATTAACACTTAATGTAAGTAAAGTTCAAAGCCTTAGCAGTCTTCCTACAGAAGAGAAAGTCTGTGTTCCTGAAATAGTTAAGATTGGTGAAAGTGGCAAAGGACATATATCATGCAGTGGCTTAAGTGACCATGATTTTGACAACTTTGGCACAGTCAGTAATGGATCTCATGTGTTTGTGGATGGTGCTCAAGCTTCTGCACAGCAAGAACATTTTCAAATCCCAAATGAAAACATCAGTAAATCAAATAGTGAATGTGGTGACAGAAGGGATGCTCATCAGCAGTCAACAAAAGAAATTTCAAGCACTGGGTTAGAAAACTGTCCAACAGCTGATTCTGGGTCTATCATGAAACCTTCTGTTGAATTGGAAAATGGAGATGACAGTGAGTTTGGGGACTTTGGTTCAGTAACAAAAAAGTTTCCAGACTCTGATGACTTTTCAGACTTCAGTTCTGCTGGTTGTGACCAAGGTACAGAGTGGAATGCTTTTGAAGCTGAGCAAAAAGAGAGCTGCTTATGGGCTGCGTTTGAAGATGAACAGGGGGTGGATTCTCATACTGGAAAAGATGAGTGGCCTTCGCATAGAAAAGGCTCAACATCTGATGTTGAACATTCAATGAGTCAGGTGACCGACAGTGTTTCTACAACATCTTTGCATGGAAGTGGCAGTGAGCAATTGCAGGAATTGTCAACTTCAGCTCGGGTAATTACCATCATTTGCTTCTGTGATGATAAAGTTTTTCACAATTTACTTTTTCAGGGGAAATGTCAGCAATTCATTCTATTGTATTCAAATTGTTGCTTTTGTAATCCAGTATGCATGTTTACTTTGGAGCTTCTCCTGCAGTGCAGTTTCTCCTTATACATGAACCTTCCAAATGCACATGTGTTAGGTTTCCACAAATTATGTACTGTACAGCCTTAGTAATGAAAAATATATCTTTTAGTTAGCAATAATATAGTGAAAGTGCCACTGAATATGCAGAGAGCTTTTCTTTCCTCCCAGAATGTGTTAACCTTCCCACAGAATTCAAGAAAAAGACTAATATATTGTTCCTTGTGAAGTGCAGAATTGAATTCTGTTGGATCTTCTGTTACATTTCTGTATTTATAGTTTGTGATGCTAATGGTTCCACTTTTTCTGTGCTCATATATAGGGAGGAGAGGGAGCTGGTTGCCTTTCTGAGCAGACATAGCTGCTGGCTCAGAGTCACCTATTTTCAAACTTCTGTCTCCAGGGTTGTCTTTAGAACTGAAGCACTAGAACAATTAAATGTCTCATGGTGTGCAGTCCTCATGAGTACCTTAGCTCTGTGAATTCCCTCCCTATTACTGCTGCTTTTATCCTTTCTCGTCCACTGCCATTTTTTTCATTTTGCTGCTGCCTCCATCTCTAAAACAATACAACTAAATAATTCTAGCTTCAGTCCTGAAAAGGTTGATAACACAGCAACTGTTTCCCCCTCAAAACCAGGATTAAAAAGAATAGAGAACAATACTTCCCTTCCCTCCCAGAGAAATCCATTCCTTTTTTTTCTTTCCTTGCACTAGCTTCTATCCACAGTTCATTCTGTTGTTAATAATCTGACCCCAAAGGTCAGAGCTGGGGGTGGAGGTGGGGATCCTCCATTCCAATTTGGAAGTTGTGGTGAGATTATAGTGAAATCAGTTGCACATAGGAATTGGGAACAAAAAAAGCCTGAAGGAAATGAAAGGTACCTTACTATTTGCAATTTACAGCTCCTATACAAGGCATATGTTTTCATAATAATGTGAGATAAAGTGAGAAAATACAAGAGGCATCAGGAAGGTAGCAAAAGAGGTGGCAGCTTTGCACATATCAAGGGGAAAAAATGAGCAGAACAGCACTATAAAGAAATAAAGAATGGTGTGACAACTGATCTTCTCAACCCACCAATTAGATCTGGAGTATTCCTAGAGGACAAAGGAAGGGGAAAGGGGTGGTAAATGACCATTTGCAATTCAAAACTCCATACTACTACACAATCTACTCTTTTTTTCTCGCAACATAATTCAGTTGCTGTAAAGCAGCCGCCCTCACTTAGCACTCTTGCTGGCCAAGAGACTTTTATCCCCTTGCCATGAATGCGTTTGTTGAAAGCCAGTGTAGTTGGAGCAAAATTAGGTATTTATTTTCATGACTGATTGAAACCCCTCTTGCTTCATTAAATACCACTCTGGCTTATGAACCTTTGTGCTGTTCTGGGGAGTCCCACCACTTCAAGAAGAACTTCAAGGGAGGGATAAACATGAAGGGAGGTCAAATAAAAGTAGATCTAGACAAGCCCTAGTATATGTACAATGTGTAGTCAGTTGAATCGTGGCTAATGTGTTAATGCCTTTACTCCCAGAAAAGTACATATAGCATTATCCTGCCATTGTAACATGTCTTTGCTCTTTTAAGTTATATGTATTCTTGGGACAACTTATGTTGCTGCTGAGAATACATTTAGCTTTTCTTGTGGTAGCCGTGACACAACTTTGTATATTTTATCAATTATTACATGAATGCTTAGAATTTTGAGATTAATATATAATTTATTACTGGATTCCAGTATTCTGCTTAAATACGCATCCTCACTATGGTTACTTGTTCTGGAACCTGACCACCCTCCACTTGACATGATGGGAAGAAATTTGATTTAATTTGCAATGGGTAAGAATACTGCCTTCAGTGAAAACTACCTAGTTTCTGACGGGCTGGAAGATAGCAGTTAAACCTTAATTGTGGTTTTATAGGAGAGTCATTGATGACTGGATTAATGTACTATAGAATTTACATCTGTTGCCCTGAATCTAAAGGAGAATGTATTAATGCAAATTTCACAGTAAAGGCAAGAGATCTCATACCCATTTACAGAACCTGGCTTCAATCCAGTGAACATTCTAAAAACAAAAATCCATTGAATTTGTTCTATGAACACTTACACGAGCAGTTGGGATGAAAAGCTGCATTAGGCCAGTTAACATATTTTATTCATGGCATTTTCTTAATCACAATCCATGGTCATCCACTCTAATGTGTCTGTTACTTGTAGGATAACAAATGCTAGTTTTAAAAGTTGATTATTAAGCTAGAAAGTTCCATTTAACTGAGTATTACTTTGAACATTGGAAGGGAACTATCATTCTTGCCTGCCAGATATGTGAATTGTACGTGTACTGCCCTCCATGCCAAGAGTATCTATAATGTAGAAAGAGAATCACTTCCTGTTCCTTTTCAGTGTAACTCCTTTCTCTGTTGCAGTCAAATTTTACCCATTTTGTCATATATCCATGCACAAAAAATCCTTTTAGCAGTGATTATTTCAGATTAACACTGAAATTGCAACATCTTTATGCTTCTATGTGGTGGGTTAGTCCCATTGGAGTCTGTGATGTTTACTTCTGAGCATTGTATAAAGCTGTAACATGCTAGGAGTTATTCAAAAGTGAGCCTTTAAAAAGTAATACAAAGAAAATAAAAGGCTCTCCCTCTTCCCTATACTGTCTTCATCAGACTATTAAATTTCATATAGCTAGGAGAGTGCGATAATTTTGAGGAAAGATCCAGGAATACCTTCAAGGCATCACATAGGAGATAGCCAATATTCTGTGTGGGCTAAAAGCAATAGATTTTCTTAAATTACTAGGAGAACATTAATTCCTCATACAAGATGATGCTGTCAAAGTGGTGCATGCCATATGGAAAACACAAGGATGGCCATCAGATTGGAAAAAAATCAACTTATATCCCCGTATCAAAAAAGGGAAACACTAAAGAATGCTCAAACTTTCGTACAGTGGCCCTTATTTCACATGCCAGTAAGGTAATGCTCAAGATCCTGCAAGTTCGACTCCAGCAATACATGGAGCAAGAGTTGCCGGATGTACAAGCTGGGTTTAGAAAAGGCAGAGGAACAATAGACCAAATTGCCAATATCTGCTAGGTAATGGAGAAAAGCAGGGAGTTTCAGAAAAACATCTATTTCTGTTTTATTGACTATTCTAAAGCTTTTGACTGTGTGGATCATAATAAATTGTGGCAAGTTCTTTGGTGGAAGATGTTTACTTCTTGGGAGGAGAGCAATCTCGATAAAATAGTGAAAAGTAGAGACATCCCACTGTTAAGGAAGGTCTGCATAATTAAAGCAATGGTATTCCCCGTAGTAACCTATGGATGCAAGAGCTGGACCGTAAGGAAGGCTGAGCAAAGGAAGATAGGCGCTTTTGAACTGTGGTGCTGGAGGAAAATTCTGAGAGTGCCTTGGACCGCAAGAAGATCAAACCAGTCCACAGGATATTAGAGGCAAAGATGAAGTGGTTTGGCCACATAGTGAGAAGACAGGAAAGCTTGGAGAAGATAATTATGTTGGGGAAAATGGAAGGAAAAAGGAAGAGGGGCCAACCAAGGGCAAGATGGATGGGTGGTATTCTTGAAGTGACTGGATTAACTTTGAAGGAGCTGAGGTGGCCACAGCTGACAGGGAGCTCTGGCATGGGCTGGTCCAGGAGGTCACAAAGAGTTGGAAGCGACTGAACGAATAAACAACAACAACAACAATCATTATTTATCCAGTAGCTGCTACAAAATCAGTTATTTTCCAACAAATTTTCAATCTACCATACCCCAGTTTCTTTCCCGGACATCTGTACACATGCATGGTCATTTGCAAAGGCATATACTTTCATTATTGTTGCAGATACCATAAAAAAATTAAAACCCAGCTGCATCTTGTTTTATGTACAGATTTACTGCCTTTCATACTGGGGTTGATGTACGAGTATAGTCATACCAAATACCAACCATGGTTAGTTCCATCCTACGCAATTTTATCTAGTCCTCTCTTAAAAATTTTGCACCCTTGCTTGTCTTTTCTTACTTTAGGTCAGCTCTGGTTCCCACCTCCTCTCCATTTTTCACTATCTTGTTTGCACTCCCTCTTCTTTCCTATGCAACTTCACTTATACACGGGCAATTTCTTCTCTGATCTTGTCACCTCTTCACTTCTTCTGGCCCCCATAATGCAGTCTCACCCCCAATCAGTATGGTATGAGGAAGGTATTTATTTTTGCTGAGTTATTTACATAAAAAGGAAAAAGAAAAAACCTTGTTGTGATCCTTAACTTACACAAATGGGTCATCTGCACCTGTTGGAATGGTTACAAAAGTCTTTTGGTGGTAAACCCCCACACCACCACCCTCAGTCGCACAGCTATCCATTGAGCTTCCTGCCTAAACCTTCAGTACATTCCACCACTGCAGCAGCATCATTGGGAACATACTCTATTATGTTTTTTTCATGATAGACTCAGCAAATTCCATCATGCCTGGCCTGACATGGGTTCTCAATAACATCATAGGGGCTCATGACAGGCTCATGGAAGGATGGAGAACGTATCTAGAAGATCTCTGTCAGGGGTCATTGAACACTTGAGAACATTCTCCATGTCAATACTCTTTAAGATGTTGGCCTTTAGAGTTTTTGAAACACTTCTTTGAAACATGGTGGTTTCTATCATTACTGACAACAACATGGTATTTTATTAACTGAGCAAGCAAGCTGGAATGAGGTTCAGTACCTTGCTCAATCTCATGCTCTGCATCTGGGATTGGTGCATCAGCAATCTGTCCTCTAGGAGAGAAGGATGTCTTGGCAGATGCCTTCAGCGGAACCTCAAGTCCATGACACACATGGAAGCTGCATCCAGGAACTCTACAAAACATCCAGCAGTGGGGTATTCTGTAAGTGGACCTCTTCACCTCGTCCAAGAAAAACAAGTGTCAGATGTTTTGCTCCAGGACTCAGCAGGGAAAGGGTTTGCACCATTCCTGTTTCATCGAGGAAGATCCATTGTGTATGGTTTTCTCTCCGTCCCCGGGTGATAGCTAAAATCCAAAGGGACAAAGCAAGGTGCATCCTGATTTCACAGTGTTAGCTAATGCTTGCTCCTTGAAGGAAAAGACATTGTATTTCAGCAGTGCTTTTCAAAGTGGATGGTTTCCACAATTGACCTGGCTTATGAGTTGACTGGAAAAGACCCTCCCGCCACCCCCTCCAATCTCTCTGTGTAGTCATTCTACAGGGAGCATGGCTACACCATCAACCTTTCTGAGCAACATGTCTTGGGGGGATATATGCAAGAACAGCTACAATGTCATAGCTTTGTGATCTTCATTATAGAATAGATGCAAGATTCAGAACTGACCCAATAATCAAAAGGACTATGTTTTGTCATGTTTAGCACGACAGTCCAACCTCCTAAAGTAAGTATTTTGCTAGTCTCCCATTTGTATGAGTTTCAGAGATAGCAAAAATGTCAGATGGTTTACCTGTACATGTAGTTCTTCAAGTTGTCATCTGTGTACTCACACACAATCCTACTCAAACTCCTGTCTTTGTGTCCAGCCTTCTTTAGGTCATTGAGGTGCTATGCCATTGTCTAGGGCAGTGCTTCTCGAACAGTGCTCCTCCAGGTGTTTTGAACTTCAGCTCCCAGAAATCCCAGCTCTTAGGAATTGTGGGAAGTCCAAAATATCTGGAGGAGCACAGTGTGAGAAACTCTGGTCCAGGGAATTGTGGTCTTAGGTGTAAAGCAAGCTGGATAGCTAAAGATGAGCAGGGCTATTACCAAGACTTACCTATAGCAGGTGGGGTTCTCTCAATCATTGTTAACTGCGTTCTCAAAGAGTTAATTTCTCGTGAGTCCATGTTGGCTGACCTATGCTCTTTTCCTTCTTTCACCCTGCCTTCTTTGTAATTGTGCTTCTAGGTGCTTTTAGGGACTCTGCTCCAACGTAGAGAGGAAGAGAGATTTTTGATCCCCTTTCACTAGAGAACAATGGAATATTCATCATGACAGTGGTTATCAATTTCCTAACGCATTTTGAATATTTTTTTGTAGCTACCATTTGAAGTACCTGTTTTTCGAATAATTGATTCTGTGTCTCAAATTAATAGCTCTGTACTTATTCCCATATTATTTAACTCTTGAAAATGCTGACCTGCATAATTGTCAATCATTTGGCTTGTATGTCTTGATGCAGACAGTGCTCCTAAATCGTCTAGAACGAATATTTGAAGCCTGTTTTCCTTCTGTACTCATTTCTGAAATGGAAGAAGAGATTGTTCCTTTGAATCTTTTGCTTGAAGTGGGTAATAAACCTGGGAGAGCAGAGAACGCCCAATCAGAAAGGTATTTTTTGTTTAATGTGACAAATAACTAGATATATATTTTTTTAAAATAGTCATGTTTCTGAGATATAACTGCAGAAATATTTCAGTGAGTCTGAATAGCAACACATTTTCATTGCTTGCATTTCTTGTTCTTTTTTATGATTATATGGTCACAGATTAATGTGTTTGGTGGTTTCTCACTTTAAATGATGTACAAATGAGGTAGTTAATTAAGATGTGGTTTATTATGAACACTTACTGCATATTATTTCTTATGTAAAAAGCTCAAAGAGGGCATAATTTTGTTTTTTACAGACATCTTCTAATTACAAGTTGGAATAATAATTATTCTTACACCACTGTTACCTCCTTCGAGGTTTGGGGTTGAGCATGAGTTTAATTGAGACTTTCTAATAGATTGGTCATTCAAAGACTCATCATAAAGAGTTTGAAGCTGGTGAGTGCCACCATTTCCCCTTTACTGAATTTATAACTGATTCTCTAGGGAACTGCTTGATGTGTGGGCAGAGCTTCAAGATATCCATGATGCTTATGGACTGAAATATCAGTGGGGAGGCTCCCACAGCAACAAAAAGCTCCTCTGCTCCTTGGGAATTGACACCAGAAATATTGTAAGTTATCAGTAAAGCCACTTTCTCTTTCTACCTTCCATTCTCTTTCCTCTGTTTTATTTGCATCCAGATTGGAATGCAGTTTTGTTCCTGGGAGCTTTGTTTTTGCATTAAAATTCATAAGTAAACAAATTCTAACAGCCCCTTTTCCAGCAAGGGCCTTGAGACTAACTGGATAACTTTGCAGTTAAAATAATTTTACTAATTCTTTCCAAATGTCTTTTATCTCAGCTCTTCACAGGCAACAAGAAGCAACCTGTTATAGTGCCCATGTATGCAGCAGGACTGGTAAGTTTAAAGTTTAATGCTGTTCTATTTAGAATGTCTGATTTTGCTTTCTGAATCTTCATTGCTTTCTATTCAGAAATTGTTGTAATTTGGGTATAGTTGCTAACCTCAATAGAATATATTACATTCCATCAGAATGTAAAGGAATAATAGATCAAGGATTTATTGTGCTACATGATTCCTACTTCCGCTCTGCATGATTCCCAATATAGGGCTATACTGTGGCAGTATACTGATATAATAATAATAATAATAATAATAATAATAATAATAATAATAATATAAAACTCTATTTATATACCAATGTTTCTCCCCAGGGGTACTCAGGACGGTTTACAAATAGCAAAACACTAACATACAGAGTACACAAAACATAAGCATAGAATTATCAAAGCAACACAAATACATTAAAAACCAATCCCACCCAATTCTTGCAAAAATCACTGTTAGGGCAAGAATTTCAAAAATGGGCCTAGGTAAATTAAAAGGGCCTGATTGAGACTAGTGCAAAAACAGGATGTGGGGGAATGGGTAAGGTAATATGTACTCATTTCAGGATAAAGAGTGAGATGGGTATTGTTTTCCTTCTGGTTGACTACTGATGGTGCATATTGCTGGACTGGAAAGACCTCTGATCTGATCCAGTAAAGCTGTTCTTACACACTTGTCTCAACCAAACAATATTTTACATGTAGGGCAGTAGCAAAGTCCTGTTTCTTGTATGTTCCAGTTACTTCCCTCTTGTTCTTCCTGATAAAGTTTGTCTTGGCATCAGAACAGAACAAATTATGATTTTGCCTCTAGGCAAAATTAGAATCCATATTTTGACCTGGATTTCCCTGGTTTGGAGGTGACAATCTATATTTATTGTAATGTAGCAAATGATGAAGAGAATAAGTGTGTGTAAGGAAGGAGGGGAGCACATCTAAATTATATTCCACCTTCAACCAGTGAAACAAATATTTATTATAGTCATTGACCAGCATAAGGACAATGGGGTACATTCTCATAAAAGCATTATACATTGAAATCATTATAGTCTAAGCTAAAAGCTAAAATATAGAGGTGTATTAAAAGGCTAAAACACAAAGCACTATTTGAAAGAGTAAAATGTAGGAGCAGGAGCTTTCAACCAGATCATTTTGATAACGATTTGTGGTAATTCAGATGATAAATAAATAAATGGGACATGAGAATACTTGTAAATCTAAGGGCATGCCAGTCTGTTCAGATAAATACTCCTAAATATCCCCCAATCCGAAATTACTCTAATTCACGATTTTTTTGGTAAATCAATGTATACAGGCTTTGTTTTATGCACAAAATTAATCAAAATGACCCTCAAGTGTATCTAAGATATCAATTAATTTTGAATTTTGACTTCAGTCTCATCCCCAAGATATATCATTATGTATATATGTGCAAATACAGGTATTTGAAAATCAGAAAAAAAAATCCAAAAAAAGTATGGTTCCAAACTTTTAAGATAAAACTTACTCAGCCTATATGTCTCTTCAGCAGTGTATAAGCATTAGTTACAGTAAAGTTCATGGAAACAGAAGTGTATCAAAAAGATGTTGACTAACATAGCTATAGTAGAGAGTATAGATATTTTAATACTATATGCTGCCCCAAAACCAAACAAAATACCACATTAAAATCAAAGACTGCAGTAATTGGCAAATGTTTGTCTAACTATTTACAAAATAATTTCAGAAGCTAATGTTAACAGATTTTAATCAGTAGTGGAAGTACTGTCTCCAAGGGAGTTTGGTTCCAGGATCTCCCATGGATACTAAGTCCCATTATATACAGTGGCATAGTAAAATGGCAAACAGTGAAATGGCAAAGAGCACCTAAGGAGCGATGGAATATTACAGCAGGGTATGCCTACACATCAGATTGTAGTTAGCATGCAACAAAATCAAGTTTTGCTATTACGACTTGTTTTGAATATTTTTGAGGCACAGTTGGTTAAAGATGTTGAAGCCATAGATAAGGGCTAAATGTATTCAGAATGGATAAGATGGTATTTTTAATTTCAAGGGAACAATGTAATACAATATAATACTAGTAATAATAATACAATATTATAATTATAATTATATATTTACATTACATGTAATATTACTAATAATATTACAATATAATGGTATAGTGCAATATAGTAATATATAATACTGATATTGTACTATGCTAATAATATAATATATTGTATGAAAATATATCTTGTAAGCCACTCTGAGTGCCCATCGGGGTAAGAAGGGTGGCATATAAATGCTGTAAATAAATAAATGGGACATGTGTGGGTCTTTGATATTGGGTAGCAGTTCCCATCATCCCTTGCTGTTAGTAGTGCTGCCTCATGGTGATGAGAGTTGCATTGCAATATATGGAAGGCAAAATGATGTCCACCACTGCTTAAGAGTTTAATTGTTGTTCCGAATGCATGGAAATAAAACAGAACTTGCAATCTGATGTTTTTATTTCTAGGGTATGTTAGAACCTACTAAAGAACCCCTGAAACCAATATCTGCTGCAGAAAAAATTGCTTCAATAGGACAGACTCCGCCTGTATCACCAGAAATGAATATATGTACACCTGATCAATTCCAGGTAAAAAAAGAGGGAGAAAGAGAGAAATATCATAAACAGCGTATGGATATGTTTGCCAAATACAAATACACTTTTATATGCTTACTCTCTTTGAGTTTTTTGTGTGCATCTGTCCTTATTTGTTTGTTGCTTCTCTTAACATCTTTATTATATTTATGATCCTATCTGCTGTCTTTGGATAGCATGTAACTGACTAGTCAAAATCTATTGGAGGAGAGACACTTATTTATAAAGGAATCTATCACTCTTTTCTGTCTCAAGAGGTTGATGTGTCCTCAAAATCAGTACACTAAAGGAAAATCTGCTCTCACCACATATCAAACAGCAAAGTTTCTTATAGATTAGTTGAGCTCTTAGCAATTTCCTTTTTTCCTCCCTTAAATCTTTTGGTATAATTTAGAACCTACATATAGAGACTTATTCCTTTTTGCATCCTTTGAGCTTGCCTACTTTTGCCATTTGAAAAAAAAAATGCTGTATTCAGTTATAAACCATCAGTTTGTAAAATTGCATGTACAGTTTCCCCCAGTATTTAGATTCAGCTTTCTTAGATTTTAAAGTGAGTGGGAGCAAGTAAAGAGAAGAATGGATTTATAATGTACCTCTGAGGTTGTGAACACAACTAAACCTATAATTGACTGGGATTTTTACATATTTTGTGTGATATTTCCTTTGTATCTTTTTTTTATATCCAGAGAGCAGCATATTCAAAAGGATCAAGGTGATCAGATCAGGGTTCTTTGCAAAAGAGTATGCAAGCTTTTTAAATAGGCCCCATGAGTGCAGATGGAGGATGAGGTTTCTGTTTAAAGTTGTTGGATGTAAAGGATTACATTCCTCTGTGTGTGGCAATCTACACTTTTGTAACAGTAGACTTTCAGAATAAGTTGAAAAGTAAACGTTTGAATCTATGCAGTTATGTTTGAAGTCTTGGAAAGTAGTACAATACTAAGACAAATTTGCTTTTTCTCAGTACGTTATTTTTATATTGTTCTGTAAACTCTAATCACTATGCAAAAATAGAGAGAGAGAGATTGTATAGAACAGTCTGCTACCATACTTTGATTCTTCCCTGCCTCTGCATTCTGCCTCATTGTATGAAGGAGATGCTGTTGTTCATTGTAAATAATGTTAAAGTTGAGAGAGTGAAAACAGCGTGGGATGGGGTAAAGGCAGCACAAACACACGAGGGAGGGGGGTTGAGTCTCAAGATGGTCATAAACCTAAAGCCAGTCCTGTTTTGTTTCCCTTCCTTCCTTCCTTCCTTCCTTCCTTCCTTCCTTCCTTCCTTCCTTTCTTTCTTTCTTTCGAAAATAAGATTGATTTAAAATTTTCAAAGAAAGAACCCAGCTTTCTATTTTTCCCCATAGAATGAACTTCCTTAGGATCCAAAGGGATTGTTTTCAAAGCAAATCCTTGTAGGGTATTTTGCCACTGTGTCGAATACCATACAGATTTGAACTCTGAAGAATTCAACTCATGCTGGAAGAAGAGGAGGGAGAACCCTGCTGTTTCTCATGAAATGCGTCTCTGAAAGGTTCAGAGCCCAGAAGAGGTCACTCAGAAGGGAAAAGAGAAATATACAAAGTTATCTCCTCCTTCTAGCACAGTGTTTCTCAACCTGGGGGGCAGGACCCCTGGGGAGTTTGTGAGGGGGTGTCAGAGGGGTTGTCAAAGACCATCAGAAAGCACAGTATTTTCTGTTGATCATTGGGGTTCTGTGTGGGAAGTTTGGCCCAATTCTATCGTTGGTGGAGTTCAGAAAATTACAAATCCCAGCAACTGCAACTCCCAAATGTCAAGGTCTATTTTCCCCAAACTCCACCAGTGTTCACATTTTAGCATATTGAGTATTCGTGCCAAGTTTGGTCCAGATCCATAATTATTTCATTCCACTGTGCATTCTGGGTGCAGGTGAACTACAACTCCCAAACTCAAGGTCAATGCCCACCAAACTCTTTTATTTTCTGTCATGGGAGTTCGGTGTGCCAAGATTGGTTCAATTCCATCGTTGGTGGAGCTCAGAATGCTCTTTGATTGTAGGTGAACTACAGCAACTACAACTCCCAAATGACAAAATCAATCCCCCCTCCCCAATCCCACCAGTATTCAAATTTGGGCATATTGGGTATTTGTGCCAAATGTGAATGAAAATACATCCTGCATATTGGATATTTACGTTAGGACTCATAACACTAGCAAAATGACAGTTATGATGTAGCAACAAAAATAATAATTTGATGGTTGGTGGTCACCACGACATGAGAACTGTATCAAGGGGTCGCGGCTTTAGGAAGGTTGAGAAACACTGTTCTAGCAGGAAGCTTCCACTGGATCCTGGTGCCCTGCATAAATTTCCTTTTGTTCTTTGTCCAAACCAATTTTTAATGCAGATATAGTGTGACATTAATTGACACTTGTGGCTCTCCTGCCTTATCTGTCAGGGTCATATTTAAAGTCGTTATTTAGCAAGCTTTTCCTTTGCAAACATGCTGACCAAACTAAGGTCTGTATAACCCAGCCCACTGTACTAACAGTTCAGTCCAGTTACCTGCCCATAAGCCTATTGCTCTTTAATCGCTGTGATTTCAAGTGTAGACAGATACTGTTTGGATTTGGTTCTTTAAAAAGTATCCCATTCTACCTGTTTTACCCAACTGTTGCATGTATCTTTTTAATTGCATTGCAAGCAATTCTCCCTTTTATGTTTTCAAAGCTGAAAAGTTGATAATAACTGTGTTGTAGAAGCTGATTGTTTTTCTGCCACCCTGATAGGAAATATCCCTGCAGTGATAGCATAACATCATTATTTGTTTCTGCATTTTGGCAGGGATGTAATGCCTCATATGCATTTCTAGGTTTAGCAGCTCTAAGGACTGTGAACCATAGCTGTTTAAAGGTTAATGGGAAGCTAATCTTTATGTCTTTGTTGTAGACTCTGTAGGTATTCTTTGGCTTTTCAAATATTGCTTTTTTGCTTGCATGCAAAAGAAAACTTCACACAAGACATTTTATTATGCTATAACCTAACTGTAAAATCTGATTTCTGACTTTCCAACTCTAGGAATCTCTACCACCTGTCCAGTTTGACTGGAGTAGCAGTGGCCTTACTAACCCTTTAGATGGTACGTCTCTCCGTAGAGCCTCTAGCACCAGAGCTAGAGTTAAGAAAGCTACAAAGTTCAGACAAACATCTCTCTGCTGATATTTTAAATATATATATATAATATATATTTCTTAACTTTGGAAATTCAGGCTTTCTTTCTTTTTAGCTATGCCCAAATTAAAGCAATTTGTAGTGCTTAAAAGCAAAGCAAGGCATTGTTTTGCTGAGTTGCATACATACCTGTGTGATAAAATATTGCATTACATGTTTGAAGATTGGAATAGTTAAGTAATTTTTAAAATTTGAGCCAAAAACGCTGCTCACAACAAACTCTTGTCTTCTTAGACTTCTTGGTAAGCTTCTAAATGGCAAAATCCTTTGTGCATTGATGGCTGCTTCCAAGCACAGGTTTTAACAAACCCTGTTTCCAAAGGGTGCACTTTAATGGGAAAAAAAATAAAATTAAGCTGAAAGTCCACTTTAATTTTTGTTCATTTCAGCTATAAATGTTTACTACTTGAATACATCTTGTTAATGGCAAAAATTGTATTCTCATAGTTTTTTTTTCTGAAACAACACTTCAAAATCTAAATGCTTCTAAATTAAACAAGAGTTTGGCCGACATCAACACAGTTTATTCTGTTAAATGCAGTTGAATCTGTCATAATTATTGGCCATATCAGTGACTTGAACACACTGCTATACAAGTGTTTAAAGCTATAAAAACTTTGATTCATATCAAGGTGCTGAAGGAAAGCCTGGATGGACTCTTTTGCTGTTGTCTGGTGTCTTACTACTTCAGTCTCTTCATCATGCTTTTTATAACAATTTTTAAAAAATGTATCTATTTCTGATTTTTCTGTTTCAGTATTAAAGGGGAACAACATAATTAGCCACTGAGAAGTTGGATGTAATGAGAACCATTGTTACCAATATTCATATTTGTTGTTTTGCTAATCTACTGACAATCCATTCACTAAAAGTAACAAATCAGTTTGTCAGTATCTTAAAATTGTGTGTATATAATAATGCAAGAGAGCAATATGGCTTTCAATTCAATGAAAGGTTCTGAATGTTTCCCTTTAATTGACTAGTTATTTTTTCTGGATCTCTCTCTGGTTCTGTCCATTTCCCTAAAAAGTATGGGTTAGCTTTTAAGTTATTAGTAATGGAATATGTATTTCATATGTACATGAGAATGTACACTGACTTGTTAACATCTTAGAAACTACAAACTAATCTTGTAAGCACTATTTATGTTAATAATAAAAAAACACTATGTAATAACTACTAATTATAACTGGCATGTTCAAGTGTGTGTCTTACCCCCTTTTTACACATAAACCCCTACCTTGGCTTACCTTCTATATGGCTGCCTACCAACACGGTCACTGAATTTCAAGCTAGTGGAGGTTCCACTCTTCTGAACCTTGATTTCTTTGGGCCCGTGGATGACAGTAGCTCTAGCACCGCCACCACTATCCCAGGTCAGCAGAGTCCTAAATGCTGCACATTTAATCTTTTAACATTCTTACTAAAAGCATGAGCTGCATTGTGTGACTTTCCTACAAACAAGAATTTCAGTGCTTTACTTTTCCTTTAAGATCCCCACTTTGAAATGGAGTCTTACTTCAGTATTTGTCTCTAGTAACACAACTTCATCGGCGCTACAGAATTGTAAACAGAAAGTGGATTTTGTTCATTTTAAAATGTCAGAAATGTGAATAACCTTAATAGAAGATTTACATTTTGAACTAAATCACAATTTAAGATACAGTTGGAATAAAAGACAAATATTTCTGTAAACGTCTTCAGGCCTTGATCTTTGCATTACTCATGTATAAGTGTATCCTATATACTCATGCATAAGGCTAGGCATTTTAGTTTAAAAAAACTGGGTCGACTTATCTATGGGTCAGTGTAAATACTGTACTATATATATATATATATAGGAACTATCCTCTTCTATGAATCAAGTGGCGAAAAGCAAGAGTTCAGTCCATCCCAGAAGCACTGACCCCTCTACCATAGCCTTTTTGAATGCCTGGACAGGAAATGGTGGCAGTCATCTGGGGCAATTGGCCCCCTGAGATGGCATTGATCTTTTCCCCTCTTTGCAAAATGACCTTCGACTTACCCACAGGTTATATCAAAATCCATAATTTTGGCCCTAAAGCTTTGACTTAAATAAGAAGTTGTCTTGTATGTGACTATTAATACTTAAAGTTTGCAGAAGATACTTTCAACTTCACCTAGCAGTAAAAGTCTTCCTAGGGAAGAACTGCCACATATCTGCTTTGTGGAAAAAGCCACGCAATTGGTATTTTAGACAAGTCAAGATGCAATGTCTAGTAGTTCCCAATGGCACCCAATTACTCTAAGCTGTGCCATGTTAAATATTAACATGATTTCACATTCAGGAGAAAATCTGTTGAAACACTGCACTTTCACAGTGTGGGCTACAGTGTCCTTTGTTTTTTTAGGAGGTATAAAAGATCTCCCAAATCACTCTGCCTAGCAGAGTGCTTCAACCAGCAAGCAGGCCTGTTAGCATATCCATGCATACATTGTGACGGGGAGAGCGAATAAGCCTCTGCTATGCTGTGTGGAAATGGTTTTATGGATGGAAAGAGCATGTCCTTGCTTTTCTGTCTGCAGGGGTCTTCTACTTTTGAAGATGATTAAGTCCAAATTTAACTTTTAATTAGAATTGGTTGATATGCATATATTTGGAAACAAAAATATAGATGAGCTATATATAGTAGTTATGTGCAACTTCACAAAGCAGTTGTAAATCTATCAGTGCATTTTAATTTCAAGAGTGATGATCATTATTAGTACATGCATTTTTGGCAGCTCGACTTCTGAAGTGATCATTTTGAAGTCAGATTATAATTTATTCAGGGTTCTCATCCGAAGGTCATCATCTAATTCACAGCATTTCCTATAGGTTTGCTGGCTTGTTTCTTGGAAAGTCATTTGCTTATAGCCTGGAGCTTTGTTTGTGGGTTATATATGTAATAGTATATGTGTGTGTCTAAGCAGAGCTTGGTCTAAATCTTGTTCTTTAAGTACTTCAGTCTCATTAAGGCTTCTGATGTGCCCATTTTCTACCAAAAGCTACTAAAATGCTATATATATTTCCTACGAGAATTAAAATAATATCTAAACCAATATCCATATCAGCAAAACTCTTCATACTTTTTAAAATCCATTTTCATGTTTTCCAACACCTTGGTGTTAAATTTAGTAAAATAGTAGCAGTGTTAGAAAATCTCTAATAATAATTTCATAATCATATACTAAACTGAAGAGCGTCAAAAAATTAATGATGCTGCATTTGACAAATGACTTGTAAATATTACTTGCAACATGTCACAATACTACAAGCCCTTTCCATATCAAAGATCTTGTTTCAGATTGTGAAAAACACAATTGCAAATCTGTATAACTTACTGGGATTTCAGAAGCTTTATTTCGTACTTATTCTATATGTGCCTCTTCAGAAGGCCTGTGCCTTTTATGTCTATAGGTTCTGTAAACATCTGACAATATTTAGAAAGCAAAGTATATTGGTTTTGTATTGATATTTGAACCAAAAAGTTTAATTAGAATAGATAAAATGCTTGTAATGAAATTGGGATACCCTATTTTTGGCTTAACTGAAGGATTACCCTAGTTGTATAACATAGCAGACAATATACACCATTTAATATTCACTTAACCACATTTTGAAAATATTTGAGCTTTTTTCCTTGAAATTATTAAGTAATGTAAAAGAAATCCCTTCGTTCTTGTCAACATTTTGTACTTGTAGATGTGCCAATTTCTAAAAAATATTTCATACTGAAATTTGCTCAGATGATAAGATTTGTAAAGCCTTTTCTTCCTTTTAATGTTTTGTATTATTACTATTCTGGGTTTATGGTTCCCAAACTTTACTCCTATTGTAAACTTTAGAATGGAAGATGAGAAACTGAAGAAAAGATTGAAATAATGCTTAATATTATTCAAAAGGAGGAGGAAATGGCATGAGAATTTCACTTACTCATGTGCATTCTATAGAAGCAGTGGAATGAAAATGGCGTCTTTAAAGCTCTAATGATTGGAAACCATTTCTAGATTATGATGGCTGATGTAAACAATTGTTCAACATTATTATTATTTGCACCTGGCAAACATCTTATATGACTGATGGAGTGTATGATGGAATTAACATCTTGCATTTGATTTGTTTATGAGAAATGTTGATAGTTCAGATGTTTACAGAATATGGGAGTATACTTTCCTAAACTGAAATTAAACATTTCACATGACTTTCCACCTATCACTCATTATAATTTTATGCTATAAGGTGTGGATCCAGAATTGTACGAGTTGACAACTTCCAAGCTGGAGACATCCAATACCACCAGTAAAGTTACAGATGCATTTGCAAAGCTAATGTCTACAGTGGAGAAAGCAAACTCATCAGCAAAGTAAGTCATCACAACTAATGATTCTTACATTTCTTCTACACTTAAACTTAAGTGACTATGGCTGATCTCCCATGTTCCTTATATTAACAATGGGACACAATGCTCACATAAGAACAGTTGCCTTGAGCAATTTGCTATCTTGCTTGGGTACAAAGGCCTTCTGGATCCCATGTGTATATATGTCCCCCATATTTGGAGGAGTTGCAGTATAAGAGGACCAACAGATAAGCTAATTTGGTCTTGCCAGACACAGCTCCAGATCCATCAAATATGTTTCCTCCCTCCTTCTCTGTATAGTCCTTGACAAATGGACTGGGATTACTTTTCACTACATCAGTGCAGAAATAAGAGTCTTTGCCAAGGTTTATATCATACAAACTTCATGTTAAAAATGCACTTCTTTTTAAAACTTCATGTTAAAAATGCACTTTTCTTTTGGTAGTAACATTCAGCTCCCCATGCTTCCAGATGGTGATTCTTTTGTCCTGTCAGAATCTATCTAACTTTCAGTCTATCTATAGCAGTATGCAGGTTTCTGGCAACTCAGCTGCAGTGATAAAAGCTCATTGACATGTTACAAGGTCAACACACAACTTTGCATGTTATAAACGTCTCTGAAAACTTACATTGCTTGCAGGTGACAGCAAAGATATATATTTAGATGCTGTTCTAGTTATAAAGTCCATCTTTTTTGTTGTCACTCTATAGTATTTATTTATAATGTCAGAAGCAAATTGGGGATACTGTTATAATGTATTTAAAAACATAAACAAAGTTAAAAACAAAGGAAAAGATTTCCGTTGACCAGAATCTGGCCACTTGGAGTGCCTCTGGTGTTGCTGTAAGAAGCTCCACCATTGTGCATGTGGCAGGGCTCAGACTGCATTGTAGTAAGTGATCTGTGGTGTGCTCTTCTCTGCATTTGCATGTCGTGGGCTCCACTTTGTAGCCCCATTTCTTAAGATTGGCTCTGTATCTCATAGTTCCAGAGCGCAACCTGTTCAGTGCCTTCCAAATCACCCATTCTTCTGTTTACCCAGGGAGGAGTTTCACGTCTGGTATCAGATATGGATTGAGGGTTCTGGGTTTTATCCTGCCACTTTTGGACTCTTTCTTGCTGAGGTTTTCCTGCGAGTATCTCTGTGGATTTTAGGGGAAAAAATCTTGATTTAAGGCGTTGGCATGCTGGCTGATATCCAAACAGAGGGTGGGCTGGAGATGTCGATGCCTTGGTCCTTTCATTGCAGGCTGCTACTTCCCGATGGATGTCTTGTGGTACAATAACAGATAAACAGTATAATTTCTCCAGCGGTGTAGGGCGTAGACATCCTGGGATAATGCGGCATGTCTGGGATAAGGGCCACATCCACTGTTTTAACATGATGAGATGTGCCTCCATATCAATTCAGAAGGCTGTTGCTGCTTTCTGTGGTTCTCTATAGTTGTCGGATGCCAGAGTCCCAAGATCACAAGGAAATGTCTAAGAGAATGAGGCTGGCAGCAATGCGATGGAGGCCTGTTATTTCTCCAGTTAGTGACTTGAATGGCAGAATTTTTGTTTGCCTGTGGCTATGATGTTGAAAAAAAGATAAATCTGACACCAGTACATAGCTCAAGCATGTGCAGGTATACAGTGAGCTGCTCCTGTAACAACATCAATGGTGTTTTTGCAGTTAATATGACAGATTTTAAAAATCTAGTAGGAAACATGTTCAGAGTTTTTGAAACTGTTTCTCTGCCAGTTTATAAGTCATTCCATGTTCTAAAACTTCTAGTGACGTTAATCCAACAGCTTGCCACTGGGGGGAGCACAGAACACGAATTCCCCTTTGCTTTAGTTAATGTTAGCTTGAATGTTCAGTTCTGAAACAAGAGGAGTGTCTGTCTTCTGACACAATTTGATGTTTAGAAGTTGTTTTATTGTAGGTTTTTTTCTGTAATCATCAAAATAATAAACTAAAGACTTCAGTCTTTTATGTCAGAACATTCCTTACTTTCACTGCTGTTGCATATATACTGTAGGTATTAACACTCATAACCCAAAAAAGTGCAATTTAAATCCAGGATGTTTTCACCAAGTATACAGGAAACTGAACTCCTTATTGATTATCATTCTTCATGGATTTGCACTGAGTTATAATAATAATATTTATTTATTTATTTGATCAGTCATATGACCATTTCAAAATAGAACACGAGTAAAACAAGGCAACAAGGTGAAGACAGCAGCCGACCTTCTATTTATAGTCAGAATCTTATTTTCCTGGTTCTTCTTTCAGGAAATCTGCTCTTTTCTTAATAGCTTTCAGAATAAAAAGGCTTACTCTGATTATGCTGGATCTTTCCTGCCCTTGCAAGAGGGATGTCAGAATATCATTTCTGTTGGGGGACCTGCAGTTGGATAATATTGGATGTAAATATCTGTCTCGCAGTTCAGTATATGCTGGACAGTCAATTAAGAAATGTTCAATGTCTTCCACTGTTTGTTCTCCCCAGATGCAGAATCTCTCACTTTTTGGGATGTTACAGTAGCGCCCGGTTTGCACCGTAGTACCGAGTTGTTCAAACCTAGCCCTAGTATATATTCTTCTTAAGGGTAGAGGAAGTGGAATAGTTAGGTAGTGCTCTAAATTAATATTCCTTTTGTGGGAAGCTAAAAACCTTGTGGCTGAAAACCTACCTATGCTCTCTAGGTCCAGCTGTGCATAGACATCCCGAATGCGCTGAGTTGCCTAACTTGACTTTACTGATCTGGTGGGCAATCTGTGAGCATTAAGAGTTTTGCTATATTCAACCCGTTGTTTACCGAAATGTCAAATAATAATAATAATCATCATCATCATCTTTATTTATACCCCGCCACCATCTCCCCGATGGGGACTCGGAGCGGCTTACATAAGGCCAAGCCCAAACAACATATTACAGCAAAATAAAACCAAAACATAAACAACAAGCAACATCATCAAACTTACACAAGGAAAGAAAAAAAACCATGAATACAGTAACAAAATAACATTACAATAAACACAATCACAGTAACAGTGGGCGAGCCACATGTACAGAATAAAATGTTAAAAACTCTAATATGATAAAAATAGGAGTAAGTTAGTTGCAGGGAGCTCATAAAGACACACAGGGTTGTGAAACTAAACTTCCTATTTGGGAGGCGTGTACTCCAGTGACAGAAGCATTGAAGGGAGCAATAGTGTCATGTTGTACACCTACTCGCCAAAGGCGCAACGGAAGAGCCAGGTTTTAAGATTCTTTTTAAAGTTTCTAGTGTAGGGGCTTTCCTGATCTCTCCAGGTAATGTGCAAAGTAGAACAATTTTAAAGAAAGATCTATAGCTAGCCATTTGGTTAAAACCAGGTAGATTGGCAGAAAGCTTACCTTAGGAGTAGTTCATATTATTTATAGTTTGAGGTCTGGTAATGAGCAATATTTGGATTTTCATGAAAGGAGACATGTTTGGTGATATGAGATGCTATAGGAGAGAGACAGTAGAAGATTAGAATTGGGGCAGGAAAAATGACAAATTCAAATAAAGGCCACACACAATAATTGGTAACAACATGTGGGTGGTGTGGCTTCTTTTGAGTATCATATTGTATCATGATACATTATATAACTTGTTTGTAGCCATGGCTGCATGTGATATGGCTCCTTCCCAGGATGGCAGCTGAAGGAATGTGTGGAGCTGAAAATTATTAGTCCCTGCCTTTGCTTGTGGCAGCTGATCAGGGAAGATTTGAGCCTGTACAGAAACCTTTTATAGATGGTTGTAGTCAGGTTGGCACTGAGTGGAGCAATTTTTCAGCTGCTGGAACCGTATAAAAGTTTCCAACATGTAGCACATCTCAGTTGCTGAATAAATAAATGCTTACTCTGAATTAATGTTTATTCTCTTAACCACAACTCCTGTAGGGAGAAAGAAATAGAAACGTATTATGAACAAAGACAGGAAAACATTACGTAAAACAGAGAGAAAAATTATCTATCTTGATGCCATCGGCCATATTTGGATTGAAATTATGATGAAATGAAGCCATATGCTTCTGATCATAAAGAAGGAATGTGCTGAGGAATGTTGACATGCTGTGTACTTCACTTTAGATGAACAGTCACAATTGTTTTTTATTTCACTTATAAATACTAGGACAGAAGTCTTTTTGTAGTGAATCTCTAAATGTCGTTTATTAAAATAGCTTTTTCAAAAGGCATTTCTTTGCTTGGCAGAATATCAGTTTTCTGTTTCTTCTCCTTCACTCACTTCTACTGCACTGCAAGCTTAATTCTAAAGGATTTCTTAGGCCTCAGGAATGACTACTCAAAGCATATATGAGGCTCCAACAAGGAAACAATCTGGCATAAGCTACTGTGTATTTTTTCAAAAAAACTAAACTCATTTTGGATTAAAAATTATACATTAATTGATAGAAATTCATCATTCACAAGTAGTTGTGTCCAAAAGTAGATCAATATTATATCTCCAAAAATACAAATCCACCTGTAAACATGTAATAACACATTTTTCCCAAAAAAAGTAGAACTGGAAATTTTTTTAGAATATTTTCTAGTGCTCTAAAAATGATTTGGCGGTTTAAACGATGCATTCAAACACATTCAAAATTTAACGTGAAAATATTTTCTTAATATTTGTACTAGTATAAAGAGAATAGATCATATTTTCTTTATATTTAGCAACAATTTACTGTACACTATTTGATAAGGACAGTATCCCAAGAGAGAGTGCCAGTGTTGTGTAGCAGTGCGAATGTTGGATTAGAACACTCAGAAACCAGAATACAAATCCCCATTTAATCATGGACACTACTGAGATAATTTTAGACCACTCATATCTCAGATTCAGAGAAAAATGCCAAGAAAATCCCATTCCAGGGAACCCGTAAAACAGAAATGAATTGAAGGCAAATAGCAACAACAGTAACTGAAATAGAGTTGTACCTGCTGTTGCTTGCATATACAATTTAATCTTTTATTGCCAAAAATTTAACTGTAGTATCTTCATCTCCACTTGCATTCTCTTCACTAAATCCATTTCAGATTGAAAAAATTAGATTCAGTACAACTAGTTGAACCCTGTATTTCCCTAAAGATTGAGTGTGAATCTGTGGATACGAACAACAGATCGCATTTCTTCTTGACTGCTTGTACTTTTGATTGATGGGGAAACAAAAGATTATGAGAAATATAAACAAATTTAGCAGGATGGTTATTTCTTAGTCCATTCCTCTGAATGTTAGAGTGAGGATTAAAACTTCATATCCTATATTTAGTCCATCTAACATGGTTGATTACAGCACAATAGTCCAGACAAATATAGATAAATGTTTGGGGGGGGGGGGGGGGAGGAATTTTTTCCACAGAAAACTAGAACTTCAGAAAATTTTCCATCTACATGTCTGCTTCTCATTACAACTATTGCCTTGCAGACACATACAGACTTACACACATGGATAATTGGAAGTATCTCATGCTTTTTATGGTTGTGTAATTACATTTCATCAGTCTGTCTGCCAATTGTAAATAAATATGCAATTCAAGATAATAATTTAAAAAACACCCTTAGGAAGTGACTTGGCTAATTATCTCATCAGCCAAAAGGAGGCCCACACTTCCCATTTAAATACTATAAGTTTATATTTGTTAAAATTGTTCTTCATTTTAATTATTGTATTGTTTTTAAGTGTTTTTGCACTACAAATAAGATATGTGCAGTGTGCATAGGAATTCATTCATTTTTTTCAAATTATAATCCGGCCCTCCAACAGTTTGAGGGACTGTGACCTGGCCCTCTGTTTAAAAAGTTTGAGGACCCCTGCACTAGAGCAACTTCTTTTTTAAATAACACCCTTTCCGTCTGTCTCCTAGACCCAAAACATGAGATGAAAGAGTATCAAACGAATGCCCACATAGTTAGAAAGGCTATGTGCTCCTCATCTCTCTTGTCTGGTATGCCCCCTATAACCTACACAACTTAAAAATGAGTTATTCTTTTATCAATTTCACACTCCATATCACTCCAAAGATGTTGTGCACTAGGTCTGCTTAAGTGACATTTGACTTCATGGTTCAGTATTTTGATTAATTTAGTGCAAGTAACATTTATTGTGCTGAACTGGTGACATGCCGGTCTGGCTCTCAGTTGTCTCCAGAGACTGATTTGTCCCAGATCCCAGAAACACAGGTTATGTTCTCATTGGAAAGCTGCTGTTGATGAAATAAAAGGCCCATTTCTTTCTACTTTGTTTTGTAGAACATTTGGTAAATACCAAACAGTCAACAAAATAATTTCATTCTGTGAGCATTTCTACAGTAGTGATTCAATGTACCGTGCACACTTAATATGAGTACAAAAACTTTACTTCGATATCCTGTTCACCACTGATTTCCTTCTTAAGCCCCTCCATCCTCAAAATAAAAACCAAAAAGCCCAGAACTACCGAATATACTCGAGTATAAGCCGACCCGAATATAGGCCGAGGCACCCAATTTTATCACAAAAAACTGGGAAAACTGATTGACTCGAGTATAAGCCGAGGGTGAGAAATGCAGCAGCTACAGGTAAATTTCAAAATAAAAATAGATAGCAATAAAATTACATTAATTCAGACATCAGGAGGTTAAATGTTTTTGAATATTTGCATAAAACTGAAATTTAAGATAGGACTGTCCAACTCTGATTAAACCATTATTCTAAGCTTCTTCGATGTAAATGTGCTTAAGTATCCTTCCAATTATTTATTTTATTTATTTACAACATTTGTATCCCACCCATATCAGCCCGAAGGCGACTCATAATAAAAATAATAGAAATAAAATCATAAATGTTATAATTATAATAATTATAATAATAGAGTAAAATAAGGGAAACATAATAATAACAGTAATAAAAGAGTAAAATAATAAATGTAATAATAACAATAATGAAGTAAAATAATAATGTAAAATAAGAATAAAATGATAAATGTAATAATAATAAATAGAGTAAAATAATAAAGGTAAAATAGTAACAACAACAACAACAACAATAGAGTAAAATAATAAATAACCTTGACTCAAGTATAAGCCGAGGCGGACATTTTCAGCCTACAAAAAGGGATGAAAAACTAGGCTTATACTCGAGTATATACAGTAATTTAAGGGAAGTGTGTAAAGATTGTCCATTAAGTGAGCTTCTTCTAAACTGGATGCTTCCATGCTGTGAAATTATCTTCCAAGTGAGATAGGGCTGGCCCCTTCCTGCAGTAGATCCACCTGCTGGCAGAAACATTTTATTCAGGAAAGTTTTGCTAATTGTCTGGTTCCTTAGGAAGTGCATTTAACTGTTCATCTTGGCCTATTCATGTGCCTTTTCCTGAGTTGTATTTTAATATTTCTACTTGTGTTTTAACATTATGACTTATCATGTTTTTACCCTCACTTTTTCATTTCTTACTGTGAGCTGCCTTGAATCCTAGTGTTGGGAGTAAAGCTGGGTGTAAATAAAATAAATAAACATATTGGCAGAAATGACCTCTTCTTTCTGTCCTTCAGCTGGAGGCAACACTATTATTATTATTCACCAGCCTCCTGAAGGACAGGAGGGAGGGGGCAGATCTGATCTCAATCGGGAGAGAGTTCCAAAGCCAAGGGGCCACCACAGAAAAGGCCCTGTCTCTCGTTCCTGCCAGATGCGCTTGTGAAAGTGGCGGGACTGAGAGCAGGGCCCCACCAGAAGATCTTAATTGTCTTGGTGATTCATAGGGGAGAATATTTTCAGACAGGTAAACACACAATATTAAACTTATTAAACCAAGAAAGGCAGCTCAACACAGTGATTTCAATGAACAGAAATGGAATGTAATGAACTTGACATTTGTTGAACACTTGAACAATTTGGCAAGTTTGAAAAAAAGATATTGCTGTGACTAAGAAGCTTTCTCCTCAAGAATGGTTAAGCCAGTGGTTCTCAACCTGTGGGTTCCCAGGTGTTTTGGCCTACATTTTCCAGAAATCCCAGCCAGTTTACCAGCGGTTAGGATTTCTGGGAATTGAAGGCCAAAACAACTGCGTACCCACAGGTTGAGAACCACTGAGTTAATCTATCTGTACAAGATTTTTCTCTGGCAACATCAAGTAACCTTTCTTTTCTCTTTTTTTTAAATAGAAAGCCCAAAAAGGAAGAACAACTCAGTGAAGAAGCTGCCAAGGTGATTTCTAGCCTTCCTGACTTATCTTTCATGCATGCCAAGGTGTTGATGTTCCCGGCCACGTTAACACCTTCAACAAGTTGCCAAGGCAAGGTAGACTAAAAAAATGAATTGGACAATTTCTATTGATCCCCCCTCCCAGCCCCATTTTCAGGGTCCTATAAAATAATTTTGCTTTAATTGAAAATTAAAGTTCAGATGATTTGTTGGTAAGCAGCACTAGAACGGTATACATAGTTATGTATATTTATTTACATACTGGAATCTTAAATTTATAATTAGAAGAAATGTAAATAACTGGGGAAGGTTGAACTTTTTTTTTTTGAAGATTTATTCTTTTTTGTTGTGCTGGGGTGTAAACATTAGTCTTTGTGGAATACACTGGTCATGTCCTTCTTAAAAAAACTTTATAAATATTTTTTAAAAATCAAAAAGTTCCAAACTTTGCTCTTCATAAAATCTCCACCAGTTTTTCCTTCTCCCTTCTCTTACAATGAATCAATTACCTTTGATGAAAATCCTTTTTACTGAAAAAGCCCAAATATTCTTGGTCTTTCATTGGCTTTCATCTGATGTGGCGTTTTCTTTTGGGGAGGACTGGGAGGTTGCTTTGCTTTTGTTTTTAGCTTTTCCACTTCTACAGTATGGATTTATCATATTTGCCTTCCAAAGGGTTTCCTATCAGTTCTTTTTAGTTAAGTGATAAATCACTGCCTAACCACTGAATTGTTTGAAATCTCTGTGTTAGTCAATTTGATTTGGGCTGGAAGGACCAAAACTTATCTGAATGTCTTACAGTGAAATATACTTGTTACATTTATTTTTCGTTGTTGTACCACTATTCTTATGTTTGATTTTGCACAGTGTAAATTTGACATAATCATAGACTGCTATGGTTTAGGCTGTATGTACAGTAAAACTATGGGTTGTAAATGTTCGGGGAAATTCCTATGGAAAAAGAGAATGCTATGTAGAACAACCTCTAACAAGGTTTATGTGCATGCCTGAGGTCTTTTTTGAAATTTCAGTGTATAAATTTCCTCTTAGCTTACACAAAATAAAAAAAAATAAAGTTCTATAGTCTGTTACTGTGTGTAGTAATTCATCTTATACTTTTGGTACAGCCAGAAAGAAAAAGTGAAGACTCATAGAATCAAAGAGTTGGAAGAGACCTCATGGGCCATCCAGTCCAACCCCCTGCCAAGAAGCAGGAATATTGCATTCAAATCACCCCTGACAGATGGCCATCCAGCCTCTGTTTAAAAGCTTCCAAAGAAGGAGCCTCCACCACACTCTGGGGTAGAGAATTCCACTGCTGAACGGCTCTCACAGTCAGGAAGTTCTTCCTCATGTTCAGATGGAATCTCCTTTCTTGTAGTTTGAAGCCATTGTTTTATGTCCTAGTCTCCAAGGAAGCAGAAAACAAGCTTGCTCCCTCCTCCCTGTGGCTTCCTCTCACATATTTATACATGGCTATCATATCTCCTCTCAGCCTTCTCTTCTTAAGGCTAAACATGCCCAGCTCCTTAAGCCGCTCCTCATAGGGCTTGTTCTCCAGACCCTTGATCATTTTAGTTGCCCTCCTCTGGACACATTCCAGCTTGTCAATATCTCTCTTGAATTGTGGTGCCCAGAATTGGACACAATATTCCAGGTGTGGTCTAACCAAAGCAGAATAGAGGGGGAGCATGACTTCCCTAGATCTAGACACTATGCTCCTATTGATGCAGGCCAAAATCCCATTGGCTTTTTTTGCCGCCACATCACATTGTTGGCTCATGTTTAACTTGTTGTCCACGAGGACTCCAAGATCTTTTTCACACGTACTGCTCTCGAGCCATTTTGTTTTTCCTGCCAAAGTGGAGTATCTTGCATTTGTCACTGTTGAACTTCATTTTGTTAGTTTTGGCCCATCTCTCTAATTTGTCAAGATCGTTTTGAATTCTGCTCCTGTCCTATGGAGTATTGGCTATCCCTCCCAATTTGATGATCCTGCTTTCTAACCCTTCATCTAAGTCATTAATAAAGATATTGAACAGGACCGGGCCCAGGATGGAACCCTGTGGCACTCCACTCATCACTTCTTTCCAGGATGAAGAGGAAGCATTAGTGAGCACCCTCTGGGTTTGTCCATTTAACCAATTCCTGATCCACCTCACCGTAGTTTTGCCTAGCCCACATTGGACTAGTTTGTTTGCCAGAAGGTCATGGGGGACCTTGTCGAAGGCCTTACTGAAATGCAGGTACGCTACATCCACGGCATGCCCTGCATCTATCCAGCTTGTAACTCTTATCGAAAAAAGAGATCAGATTAGTCTGACATGACTTCTTTTTGATAAATCCATGTTGACTATTAGCGATGACCGCATTTGTTTTTAAGTGTTTGCAGACCACTTCTTTAACTCCCTTTCTACTGCTTAGGAAGAAAAATAATTTTTATGCATTCACTGAAATATACACTGTCAATGTTGAGTTTAATTATTTTTTTTATGCCCCAATGATAAAATGGGGAAATGTTTCCCTTTTACTGCACAATGTTTGTCTATGTGGAATTGAAGCCATTTGGGTATCATGACTACTTTTTGAACCTTAAAAATGTTCTTTTAATCAGTTTTCAGTAGGACAGCGTGCGTTGGGCACTTTCAGAGAAAGAAGTAGCTACACAGACCCATCATTGGTTTTACAATAACTATATTGATTACACAGACAAAGGGGGATCATTCACTCTGCATTCACTCCACATACATTCAATCACATGTATACTCACCTCCTTCTTCATTCACGCCATCTTGAAAGGAGGCGACGAGTACCCAAACTCCACATTCCCCTGAAGGTCTGACACACTTTTCCAAGAGGAAAGAGTCTCTATATAGCCATTTTTCTGTCATTGTTGTTCTCTTGATTGACTGACAACTTGTTATTCATCTAAGACTTGCTGAGGCTCCATCAGTTTCGAACAAATGTTATTTTTCCTTCATTGTTTCTGACTTCCTTAACTTAGAGAATTGTTGTCTCTGACCATGCAAACATGTCCTCTTTACCCCTGAACTTCCCAGTAATGTCAGAAGCTCAACAGTTTTTCTTCATCAGCACTTTTTATCCCATAATGAATTTTTCACCTCCTTTGTTTCTCCGTAATGCAGTTTTCCAGGTTCCAAATTTTTTAGGATGGTGTCTTCAGCCTTGGCAGGTCCTTCTAATACAGTGTTTCTCAACCTTCCTAATGCCGCGACCCCTTAATACAGTTCCTCATGTGGTGGTGACCCCAAACCATAACATTACTTTAGTTGCTACTTCATAACTGTAATTTTGCTACTGTTGTGAATCGTAATGTAAATATCTGATATGCAGGATGTATCTTCATTCACTGGATCAAATTTGGCACAAATACCCGCTACATCCAAATTTGAATACTGGTGGGTTCGGAGTTCGGGGGAGGGGGTGCATTTTGTCATTTTGGAGTTGTAATTCCTGGGATTTAAAGTTTACCTACAAGCAAAGAGGATTCCGAACTCCACCAAGGATGGAGTTGAACCGAACTTGGCACACAGAACTCCCATGACCAACAGAAAATACTGGAAGGGTTTGGTGGGTGGGAATTGGCCTTGAATTTTGGAGTTGTAGTTCACTTACATCCAGAGAGCACCGTGTACTCAAATAATGATGGATCTGGACCAAACATGACACGGATACTCAATATGGCCAAATATGAACACTGGTGGAGTTTGGGGAAAATAGATCTGGGCATTTTGGAGTTGTAGTGGCTGGGATTTATAGTTCACCTACAATCAAAGAACATCCTCAACCCTACCAATGACCAAATTGGGCCAAACTACCCACATAGAACCTCCATGACCAACAGAAAATGCTGTGTTTTCTGATGGTCTTTGGCGACCCCTCTGACACCCTCTCACGACCCCCCCCCTCCCAAGGGGTCCCGACCCCCAGGTTGAGAAACACTGTTCTAATAGGTCTCCAATCATACAGTTTCATCCATCCATCTACTCATAACATGGCCCTGGCTGAAGTTTATCGTGAGGATTCCTGGTTGGTACTGCTGCAGTCTATAAGACCTTGGTAGGTACTTGGATTTTGCAAGGGTTAGGAATAAGCATAGCATTCCTTTTCCTTCCCCTTACCCTTATCAGACTCATCTGGAGAAGGAAGAATCAACAGTACTTTAGGGGATTCATGCAAAAGTTTGCAATCTGAGGCATGGCTTCTTGAGTATCAGTCGCACACATTGATGTGCATTTCCTGCGCTTCAGCCATATGATGAAGACATTGGTGTGAAGGACTTACATTTACGAAATCAAACCACTCCTGTTGATTGCATATTTTCGAGAAGTCGTTTCATTAGTCCACATAACCTTTTCAAGGAGCCCCCGGTGGCGCAGTGGGTTAAAGCGCTGAGCTGCTGAACTTGTTGACCGAAAGGTTGCATGTTCGAATCAGGGGAGCAACATGAGCTCCTGCTGTCAACCCCAGCTTCTGCCAACCTAGCAGTTCGAAAACATGCAAATATGAGGTACCCCTCTGCCGGGAAGGTAACAGCGCTCCATGCAGTCATGTCGGCCACATGACCTTGGAGGTGTTTACGGACAATGCCGGCTCTTCGGCTTAGAAATGGAGATAAGCACCAACCCTCAGAGTCGGACACGACTGGGCGTAATGTCAGGAGAAAACCTTTACCCTTTGCCTACCCTTTTCAAAGTGTATTGATTAAGCCAAATGCTATCCAAATAGTTTTTCAACTGGCTGCATTGATCCAGATGAAGGAGCACAAATGGGTAATAACCATATATTGAGGTGAAGTGTGAAACTATTGTCCATATTTAACTGGAGGGCTGTTTTCCAAAGGTAGTGAAAGTGATCAAAATAAAACAAAATAAATATTCCAAAAGTTTGGAGCTTAGATTATGAGCCATCAAGGTAAGTTTTTTTTTTTCCATGTCAGGAGCAACTTGAGAAACTTCAAGGTAAGTGAAAACTTTATTTATTTACGACATTTATATGCCACCCTTCTCACCCTGAAGGGGACTCAGAGCGGGTTATAAGTAAAAAGTAAATACAATATATTATTATTATCATAGAACAATATTAATATTATATATTACATTGTACTATAACATTATACTGTAATATTATTAGTAATAATATTACATATAAAATATATAATTATAATATCATTTTAGTAGTAGTAGTATATTGTATTACATTATAATATTATCAATATTATATTATATTATATTATATTATATTATATTATATTATATTATATTATATTAAGCACAGTGCAGGAGACAAGATGGAACTGCCTTCCTGGCCCCTCTCTTCACTTGGGGAAAATAGACCTCGACATTTAGGAGTTGTAATTACTGGGATTTATAGTTCACCTGCAATTGAAGTGCATGCTGAACCCCACCAAAGACAGAATTGGGGCAAACTTCCCACACAGAACCCCCATGACCAATAGAAAATACTTAAGGCCATCCAGTCCAACTCCCTTCACCGGGGCAAGAAAATGTAAATAAAGCCCTCCTGACAAAGAGCCATCCAGCCATAGATATAGATAGATATATACGATTAACACACATACACATAATATCATAGATTTGAAAGGGACCCCTGAAGAAGGACAATTATATATTGCATGTTCCAGAGCAGGCAAACCAGACAATCTCCACATCAACACTGGCAAAGAAACAGCAAGAAATACTGTTTACCCACAAGCATAAAGAAATAACATATATTAGAAACTAACACTTTCTCATTACTTCATTTTCCAGATCACCAGACTGGGCCACAGCAATGCGTGGCAAAAGACGGCTAGTTAAACCTATATTTTTGGATGAGCACCACTCTAAAAGCTTACCTTTCTTTCTAGGTAGGCAACTTTTTTCATATCAGGAGCAACTTGAGAAACTGCAAGTTGGGTTGCTGTAGGTTTTTTGGGCTATATGGCCATGGTCTAGAGGCATTCTCTCCTGACATTTCGCCTACATCTATGGCAAGCATCCTCAGAGGTAGTGAGGTCTGTTGGAACTAGGAAGCGAGAAATACTGTTTGCCCACAAGCATAAAGAAAT